GACTTCAGAATTGGAGGAAGAATCATGTTAGAAGACATAAAGCTGTAAAAGCCATGCTCTCTGCAGGCTGTGATCATGAGAATGAGGTTATTCTTTGCAGGCAGTCTTATTACTCTGGGCCAAATTCAAACTGTAAACTGTTTAAATTTGCTGACTTTTATCTAGGAAGGAATACATACTCATATGAATTGAGGGTTCAGCCCATCATGCTTTCCGCATACAATCTGAGCGGGCTTCTAGGCTGTTGTTCTTGAATTAGAAATTGAAATATGGGTAATTTTAAATTGTTCTGACTTGCGCTTAGTTTAAAGAAATTAAAGTGCTTTCTGCTTAAGCACTGTATTGTGATGTGGAGATTGGGAGTGTAATGACAAGATTTATAATAATTTTTTAGATGACAGTAATGTAAAGGAGAATATTTGCTGCTGAAGGACTTTTTACTTGTCTTTCAGTCTTCAGGCGGGGATCAGAGATGGTAGCTTAGTTTCTCTATGAAAAATAAAAATTTTTAGTACAGGATTTATTTGTTTTATACTGGTACCCTGTGTGTATATGTTCTGTTGTGTGGATACAGAAGCTCAATTCTGGCTACACTTTTTGTTGCTGTATAAAATTTTTATTATTAATACAGGAACTGTTTCTGTTTAAGCAGTGTGTATATTTTTATATATATCGGATGTGGAGAGGAGCATGAATTGCCTTTTGCCCATTTGCATTCTTTGAATTTTTTCTTAGGAAGCAAAACATAAATACATAATAGCTTGGTATGCAAAGGGAAGTATACTAACATAGTGGAAGGAAAGACATTCAGAAACATGCTTTCCTTTAGGAGAAAGCCATTCTTCCCAGAATTGTGCTAGTTAGCCTTCCTTTGAACAAAACCACTTCTACGGTATCTGTAATTCCTGAATGCAAGTTAAAGCTTCTCAGAAGATTCTTTACAAGGCATTTTAAACATTATCTGTTATATTGTGACAAATATATACATATATATATATGTGTGTATATATTTTTTTTATATATATGTATATATTAATGTCCTCTGTGGTTATGTGGGAAGCTGTGAAGGAGTGAGGGATATGGGAACCAAACCACTCAATTCTTATTCTTCCCTCTGTCCTCTGTTGCATTGAATTGTCTTCCTTTATTTTGCCTGCACACCATTCCCAACATGAATATCATCTCAGCAGGTTCCAACTGTGTTATTACAATTAAATGTACTTAGTAGCTATTCTTTAATACAGTAAAATGACATACTTAAAGGGTACCGCCTGAAGTGTCTGGATCTTAAAATTTTTCCTGTAGTCGGAGGTTACATGCCAGATCAACTTCAGTTCCTGAACATGCAGCATTCCCACACCCTCCTGCAGCTCTCCAGCCGAAGTCCATGTTTTGCCAAAGTATTGCTTCGTGTGTCATCCAGAAATTACATAATTCCTCAGCTCCTGCTTTCCTGTTCTAGTCTAGCCTATGCAGTGATACTCTGGGATGTAGCACATGTACATTCCTGTTCTTCTTTCCTCCTAATGGATCCCAATATCTGTAAGTCATGGCATGTCGTTAAAATGAAAGGCCTGTGTGGCCACCTGCATGAATGAAGATACTGCTTATCAGGTATAGATTATTGTGGGTTGTACAAGTGTTAAAAACCTTTATTTTCCTTCATATTTAGTCAGTTAAATTTGTGTTAATTGAAATTGCCTTACTCTAGTCCATTCATCAGCTGAGTCAAGAGCTTTGCTTTCTCTGTGATAGAGTTAGAACTTACTTCTCAAATTCAATATAAACTAAATGGTCCTCATAATAGATTGCTTGTGAGGAGAAGCTGTCAAATTCTTGATTAGCTATTCTGTCAGAGAAGAATAGCAACGAGTCAAAACTATGGATGCCTTCCCAGGCAAGAATTTAGTGTTATTCCAAGGAGCTCCTTCTGAAGCCATTTACCCTTGTAGTAATACCTAAAGCAGCTTTTAAGCAGACAGAATACCCCTCTTAAAATGAAATATGATGCTCCAGGGTGGTTGTAAAAGAAAATACTGTTTCTGGTTCAAGACACATGTAACAGATCATGGCGGTTAAAGCTCTTTGATGGTAGAGTGAAGCAGTATTGACTGCCTGGTTACTCTTGTGGGTCATTACCTTGTCAGTTAATTGGAAAGCTTGTGAGGGGCTTCTCTGTGACAGTGTTTTGTGGTAGAAGAAAACAACGTGGGAATAAATGTAGTTTAAAGCAGTTAGTAGTTGGTAACGATGCCTGGTTTGTACATGGTTTTGATTGTGTGCATTGTACGATGGGCTAATCTCTGCAAGGGGTAGGGGATTCCTCTGGTATCACTCTGAAGGCTAACAGGGATTTGAAACAGAATACTGCTGTGAAATTTGTACCATAAATGAAGCAAATACACTTGTAAGAGTCTGTGTGAATGCTGTATCTGTAACAAAAAGATCATTAGATTTGACTCTCTGGTTAAGCCAGCTGTCACTAGCTTGGATCAAATTAATTACTAACTAATGGTATCCTTTATTGATATAGGTCAGATTAATATAAAATTTCATTAAAACTATAGTTCCACAAAATTATCTTCAGTGACAACAGAACTACAGTTTTAAGTGGCAGCATTTGATTCTTTATTTATTTTTCAGTGACTTGTTAGAGACTCCTAAAAAAGAAATCTGGGTATAGAGAGACTGTTTTTTTTTTCCCATTCAGCACCTGGTCCTGAAAGTCTGCATGGGCTTGTGCATCCTTGTTAGCAATGAAGATATGACAATTTGGTCCTAGTTTGCAGTGCTGTTTTGAATGCATTGTCTCATAAAAGGTTAAAAAATTATCTCTCTCCCTGTTAGCTGTGTGAGTTCTGCAGAGCAGTGAAATGTATGAACCTGTTGGGGGGTGGGCTTTGTGCGAGGCAAGTAAACAGATTAGATTAAGAGCTCACGGAAGATATTTGTTAGAGTTGCCATCTATATACTGTTCTTCTGGCTATAACTGCACTTTACATTTTATTATGGCCTGGGTCTTTAGAGTTGAATTTTATAAGGCACTTTCAGTACAATTGGGTCAGTCACCCAGTATTCATTCAATTACACACTGCAGCCTTGCTGCTGCCCCTTGACATCTGTACACAAAGCCTGTCTTTTTTTTTTTTACATAACCTGACCAGCTCAGATGCCAATTGTGGGAGATGCTGAAAGTCATTGAGAGCTCCAAAGCACAAGAAAAGAAATGGCTAAATAGTTCATTGCCTCTGGCATGCCCAGAGGCAAGCAGGGAGCTGATAATGGCATCATTACACCAGCAATACTTTGTGTTTTGCACATGTATTGCTGTAGAAAAGGGAGAAATTTGAGACTCTGTGAGAAATGTCATTAAACACTTTTACATAGGTAGGCAGCTGCAATTCTGTTTGTTTCATTGCCCAGGCACTGGGGTGGTAATGAGGTGACAGGCCTTGCTGGGCTGTAGATAGGAAAGCTGTGTGCTCCTTGGAGCAGGGTATTGTGGACAGCAATGCAAATAGGTGCCTCATTAATGTGATTAAATGGTATTCTGAATTCTGCCTCTGAGGCTATTTCGCTCCCATGTGCAGTTGGGCAAGATGGTCCAACCAGCCTTTCTGTCGGTGATCAGTAGCTGAGTGCAACTCCAACTTCACATGCTTTTTGGGATTCATGCTCATGAAAATGCTGACTCTTGAAATAGGGCTCAGTATGTGCTGTGCTTGGAAAATAAGGGCAGGTTCTCAAAAGAAAACCGAAATCCATAGAAAAGAAAAATGCATAGGTGGCAGGAGCTGCGTGCATGTCAAAGCAGTTGCTCAGTCATCGTGTGCTTTCTGAGTAACAGAGGCTTTTGTTTCTTCCACCCCTAAAATGAATATGATGCTGCCTTGCCATACAAGAGTATCACTGAAATAAATCCAGTGATGTCTCTGATATGTTTGGATATTTCAGTGCTGAACACTAGAGAAAAGCTCACAAATATCTTATTTGGGAAAAGTAGTAACATAGGTCATGAAAGAAGTAGAGTTTTTGTAACACAAGTGTGAGGAAAAATTGAGATGCTGCCAATGGGGAGCGCTGACTGTCACGTACACAGAACTGAGGTGTTTGACAGAAAAGAAAATAGCGTGTGACAAAGTAATTGAACACTATATAAAAAGTGTACACCTCCCATGTCAGAGAGCAGGGAATATTAAAGTTGCAAAAATAACCTCTCTCCTAACTCTCGATGTTTGATTGGACTTGGATTTTTGAACTTTATGTTAAAAATGCAAATGGTGGATTTATTTACAAGAACCAAAGGCACAGGTTTGCTTTAGATTTGGTAATATTAAAGTAGGAAACCTGCTATGTGGAAAAAAACCTTGCATTTTGGTCATATAAGTATGGGTGATGCCTCAGTTTGAGCCCACTCTTCCATCAATTTGGTATGTTTTTTTGGATCTAAAGAGACTGAGTACTGGTATTTCACATAAAATTATTGTGAGAACAAGTGACTGTAGTTGAACTTTGTCTGGTAGAGTTGAAAACTGAGAGGATAGTAAACTGCCAGTTCTTTGTGTGAGAAATGCTTTTGTGTTAAGTTTTTTGGATGATAGTCTAGCAAAGCACCAGTCCTGGACATTGCTGGGAACTTCTAAGTTTGCTTTAGGCATTATGATTACACAAATAATTATAATTGTGTTTCAAATGGTAAGTGAAATCTATATACTCGTTAATAAAGAACTGTAAAGGTTAAGGCTTATTAAAGATGTTGGTTAGTCACTAGCAACCCTGAAACTAAGCATAGTTTTTGTCTTGATATTGACTCTGTTGAGTTTGCATGAGTCAGCTTAACACTTTATTTCCATATGAAAATGTGTATTTTTTTAGCCGGCCATGTTGGGCAGAGGTTAATTTATTTAATTTATTTAATTTATTTAATTTATTTAATTTATTTAATTTATTTAATTTATTTAATTTATTTAATTTATTTATTTTATTTTAATTCCTTCTAGCCTTCAGGAAAAAGAACAATTGTTCAGCACATCCATTAAAGAAACTACTGCCAAGGTAAGTACATGTTTTCAGTTCTTCAGAATATTTACAGACACGGATCATAGCACGCATCTAAATATATTAACTTTGTTTTAGGAAGTTGGTTTTGTGGTATTTCTCTAAGAAGATTTTGCACATAAATATTTCTAAGCACACACTGAAAGTCCTCCCCAACTTTTTGTTTGAACAGGCCACAGGGATTATAATACTTCAGGAAGCAGATGGAGTAATCTCTTCTTTCTCAGCTCTTTTACTAGTGATCAGTCCCCTTGCTCAAGTCTCTATTCAGGAACAGACTCCTCAACTTCATGAAATCATGGTCATAGCTGAATGTTTTAGCTCTTAATACAGAATCTCTAACTCCTCTCTAACTGGTTTTGTTGGTGTGAGGGGAAGAGCATAAATGAAGTACCTTTTCCCCCCACCATTTCACTAATAATCTAGGTAACAATCTAATTTTCATACCCTTTAAAAATAAAAAGAAAATGATATAGCATATTTAACATAATTTGTTTCTAACTAGAAATGTTGATATTTTTCCTTTATCTTTCTTGGGCTCCTTTCAAGAAGTAGAACACTGAAGTTTTATTTCAGAATGGCCTAATTGCTCCATGGATGCTCTAGGAAAAAAAAAAGATCCATTTACTCCAGCCAATTCATGTAGATCTATATGAAACAGGAAGTGAAAAATATTTCTGGGTTTTGATTAATACTGAATTTATACTCTGAAATAAACTTATTTTTCATGTTTTCTCTAATAGCACTCACCTAAATCAGTGAAAAATTTATCCTTCATAATCTGTTCTTCGAAATCCTTTTAAGCAGCACTTTCCCAGTGCACTGTTAAAAAGATGGTTTGAAGAATGCAGCACATTACTCTCTTTCCTTCTCTTCCACTTTATTTTGAGCTCATTTTCTCTATTTATTGCTTATATCCGCATCTTGGGAAAATTAATATACACTATAACAATGATTCCCTCTGTATTTTTTAAAATAACTATGAATAAAGTATCAAGGAAATTATTGTAACTGACCTACAGCTCATCTACTAAGATGAATGAGACATTCAATAGCTCAAAGTGATGTTTCAAGTGTTGTTTCAAACTATTTGCAAGCTAAAACTTAAGGTATGGGGTTTCTTTCCCCCAGAAAATGTCTCATGAGTATCTAGAGACTTTCAATAACAGCTGAAGCATTGTGTAACAATAGAGAAGTCTATGAGGTAGAATTTGACAGCTTGATGTTTTCTTTCAGTTTTCAATAGATAAAATACTATTTTAATTTTATTCCATTCCAATGTGATGGCTTTTATTTGTTATAGAAGATAAATAGGAAGCATGTAATGAGACTCCTCCAAATAATTTCCTATTTAGTTTATTCATATCATCTCATCCTATTATTTTCAACTCAAAATAAATAGAGCTGGTCGTTTAAACCTTTTTGTTGTATGGGGAAAACATTCCTTTGTCAAAGGTCTTTCCTTTTCCCCTGTGCCACTGGCATTTCTATGGCCTATTCTGCTTCATCTCTCTTGTTTTCAGCTGTGGCTGCAAAAGCTAACTTCTGCCTGCTAATGAAGAGAGTGCTGTCCCTTATTCACTACCTTCCTTCAGAAATTAGTATATGCTTTCAGTAATGGCAAGATTGTGCTGTGTAGGAGACCAGATAGACTGTTCCTTCCTTTAGGCAGTGTTAGCAGAATTTCTTTATCTTTTTCATGGTGCTTTTTTAAAGAAACATGAAGGTTACTCAAAACTTATTTTCTCTTGAGGTGAGTGGAGAGTGAATTCCAGTGCTTTACTTGCTGTCCTTGTCCCTGTTTTTGCCACTTTTAGATTAACATCATATGCTGGGAAGATGGAAGAGGATGACAATGAGCAAACTTGCCTTTGATATTTTGCTGTTTTTCATCTTGATTCCGCATATCTTTGCTAACCAGCTTCCTACTGGTTTCAGATAGACTGCTTTTTTTGAGTAACATTTCAGTCTGAATGCAGATTTGTAAGGTATATTCCTAAACAAGAGCCTTTTTTTAAAAAAAGAAGTCTGCTTTAAAAAAACCTCAAAAACCACTGAAGAGGATTTTAAAATAAATACAATAATACTTGGCTGCAAATACGCTTTCCTGAAATTGAAAGTTTTTTAGACTTTGAGCTTGCTAGTCTGTGGGTCACAGCAGAGCTGATCACTGAGAACAAGGAAAGGACGTTGCTGGAGCCACAGAAGCTGGTTAGAGAAGGATTCCAGTGTTCACTGGAGGCTCAGGACACTGGCTCTGTGAATGTTCACCGTCTTTGTTGGCTAAGAAATTACCTCTCCTTTGTGGCTGAATAGCTACTATAATGAATAATGGTATCTATTATGAAGATACAATAATTATAAAAAATGAAAAGAAATGGAGTTTGTAGAGTAGACCTGATGTAATGCAGAAGCAGTGCCATTATTTTGGGGGATATTACTTTGTCTTTCCCACTTGCTCATTTAGTTTTGTTGAACTATGCCATATGATAGGTCTGAAGATTAATGTTGTTCATTTATCTACAGAATACATGTGACATAGATACAAGCAGAGGCCCAGCAACCTACTTATCTCATGTTCCAGAAGAATCATCTCTGAGTTGGAGGGACTGCCTTTCTGCTTCTGGTCCCTACATTTGGTCCATTAATAAAGAGTGCCAGCAAGCTTTGTTCTGACAGGGGGGCTTACAAAGTGGACAGTGCTCACTAGAAACTGATTAAGCATCCCAGCTTATTTTGCATAATTGCCAAACAGCTGTCTAGTGATAATGACTTTAACTTACTACCAGCATGGGATATATTCATGCATTTTTCCTGGAGCTGAAAGATTCCCCATCTAATTGCAATTCACTGAGCCATTCAATGCCCCTAAAGAGAGAGTACTGCTCGGAAAGAAGTCATTAAAAACTTTCAGATTTATTTTGGAGATGGGAGACAGAAATGGCCTTTGGGTTTTTAAGGCACATTTATTCACCTCTGACAGGTTCGAGCTTTTAAAAACACTTTAACTGAATTAGCTGGTGAGTCACTTAGAAGGGGGTATTGAAACAAATTGAAATATCTGGGTATTTTAAAATTATAGTAGGGGCAGAAGCCATGTGTGTTTTTAAATTAGTAGGACGACTCTTTACAAGTAACAGTTACTGCTTGGAGGATAGTTCTGTTGACTCAAAAAAATTACCTATTTATAGTTAACAGATAATCTCAATAAAGGAAGAGGGTGTTATTAATTTAAAAGGATTTACAGCTAGTGTTATATATGAATTATCATTTAATTGTACAAACAGATAAACCATTCAAACTATAAAGTTTTGCTCTTTAAAAAGTGAAATAAACTGTGCTTCTGCTAATAAGCATAGCACTTGTTTTTGAGGAAGGAAAAATAAAAGTGAAGGAAGGCAGGGAAATTTCTCTCTGGAGATTACCTTTCAAATTACATCATTTCTGAACTGGCCTGTGCCTATCTTGACAATTGCTTTAGTTTTGGTTGCAATAAATGCAATGTTTTCTTAAGTGTCAGCTACTATTTTAAGAAAGTGTTTGGCATCAGCCTCCAGAACAAGGGATTTCCCCGAGTTCAATTAAGGATTTTTGTTTGTTCATTTTGCTTTTCTTCCCAAATGATGCAACATTTTTGAATATGTGGGACTTGTATAAATTTTGCATGCTGCATAAGCTCCTTCTGAGGCGGTAATGTACACTGAAAAGTACAGAAACAACTGGATTTCCTTTATATTTTTTTTTCTCTATTTTCGCTCTCCATGTTTTCAATACCAAACCGTGTTGATTGCCGAAGGACCTCCAGTTAAAAAGACAAAAGAGAGCAAGGGAAGGTTAGAAACCTGAACCCTCGTCATCTGTGTGTCCTGATTTGTGAAACAAAGTACATTGTCAAGCTGATATAGCCTTATTTGTTCCCTGTGCAAAAAATAAAGCTGCTTTGTCTTTTTTCAGTTAAAATGCAGAGCATGGTAGATTTTGTATAAAAATTAGTGCACATTGTATGTTTTAGAATTTTAATCTCCAAATACTGGTTTCCTTATGCTCCACTTCAAGCATGGTGACTAATGCTGAAATTGTGCAGTATTTGTGAGGTGGACTTTGTTCTGTGTGCAGCCTCTGTGTTTAGTAGTGAAACATGTCCTTTCTCATGCAGGTAGCTAATGTTAATACCATTCCCTGTTTTAATAATAGAAAGTGCAGCACAGCCTGGAAATTTTGATTCAATGTTGGGTGTTTCTGTAAAGACATCACTTTTTATTAAGCTTTTTTACCTTGCTGCAGGATGTTATGTCATGTCTGTTAACCAAGAACATTTGAAGCCCCATTTCAACTGCCTTATACTTTTACATGAATGAATTCTATATCATGGCTGTCTGCCTCAATTTAGGTTTGCACGAGTCAGAAACTCTGCAGTACTTTGAGGAGGAAAGTGAGTGATATTGAGACTCAACTACCAGCTCTACTCGAAGCCAAAATGCTGGCTGTTTCAGGTAAGTTTTAAGTGATGAGAAGGATTAACGGTGTTAAGGAGTGTCTTAGAGCAGTTACTGACCTCTTCATGACAGACTTGTTAGGGAAAGTTGTTCATGTGCTTGTGTAGATCCCTTGAAGTCGTGACCAGCCTGGCAGAGCAGGGCTGTGCTATGCCTTGTGTAAGGTACTTCAGGTCCCTCTCCACAGTTTGGAGCTACTGGCAAAGCTGATGCTGTGTGGTAGACCATTAACATGCAAAACACATGGTATTTTTCCATAGGAGAAATTTATGTTTAATCATGAATGGCTGTTCCAGGACTCCTCAAGTTACATTCTTAGAGCTCTCTAGCTAAGTTGTAAATGGCTAAGGTATCATAATTACAAGTCTGGCTTTAAACGACACTTTAAAATGGAATACAATAATTGGCAGCTTCTGCTGTTCAGATCATTAAACAACTAATGTTGGCAGCAAAAGAGCACTTTCATCCTTGGAGCACTCATGCATGTTATTTACAACCAATAAAACACTGAAATGTGATTACAGAGTGTGATACATGCCACTTGCTTGGGATTGCTGCACTGTTCACCAAGGAAAAAAGGCAAATCACAGTCCTTTCTTTTAAGTTGGAAGAGGTGGGTTTTCTAATTCAGCAAATGGTTTGCAAATACTTCAGTAGGTGCCTCAGAGAGGAAGCTGAGTAGAAGGGAATGTGGACTAGAGTGCAAGGAATTTTCCAATGTCACACCAAGTAAAGAAAGGCTGAAGAGTTTTTGATACCTTATATCGAGACGAGATGTAGCTCTCCATATGTGATTTATCTTTTCAATTATATGCAAGAATCTCTTGCACACACAAATTATTTTAAAATGAAATCTTGTGCAGTGTCACATGTTTGTTTGCCAGAAGTGGATAATGTCAGGCTTGGGCAAAGTCCCAAAGGAAATTAAAGCCCAGATCTTGTATTGGTGCTGAGCATGCTCAATTTCCTTACTTCTCATAATACCTTTTAAAAATGGAAATCCTCTTTATTTCTCTCTCCACCTCTAAGAGGTAAACCAGGCAATCAGCCCTCTCTGCCTTTAGACTGTTTAAATGTCAGTAATTTTCTCAGCTTCGGAAAAAGGGTTTTAATGGCTTGGGAACAAAACAGCCTATAAACTGGACATGCAACTGCATGTAGGAAGCAGTTGGCCGGAAAAGCTGTATCTCAGTCTGACACTTGGAGAGAGTGAAAGACAGCTTGAGGATCATTTCCAAAACATTCATAACAGCATTTTATACTTGTTAGCTCTTAAAAGAGGTTGCTTGTTTCAGGAATGAATTCCAAAGGCAATTTAATGCTGCTCTTTCTGTAAATTGTTTTTACAATTGTTTGACTGCCTTTCTATGCTTTTTAAGAACTATCAGTTCAATTTCTTTGTACTGCTAAAAGCACTGTTTCTTTTTTTACTCTTGCTTCAGGAAATTTTAATGGCTGTGAATGGTAAAATCCTAATTTGTTAGTAAGACAAAATTCTGCATGGCATGGTTAAAAATAATGGATGAAATGGATACTGTAATTTTTAACCTCGTTGTAAGATATAGATGCGTTTAGTCAATGTGGTAGCACTTGTTTACATGAAATGCAGGGTTATAACCAGAAGACACAGGGGAGATACAAGAGTAAAAATAAAATTCTTTCTCTGAAGACCTGTAAGTAAAAAAAGAAAAAAAAATCTAAAAACACCAGAAATAGCTTTAGAGCATGAGGTGAATAAAATCAGAAAAGCCAAGATACAGGCTGAGTTTCAGCTAGCTAGCAGAGAAGCAAATCAGGAAGAAAAGATTTGATAAATGTAGAAGACGAAAGAGGAAGGAAGAGATAAAAATAGTGGGAATTATTTTTTTTTTTTTTTTTTTTTTTTTTTTTTAGCTTAAGGCAAAACCAGTGATTATGGATAATGGAGAAGGCTAAATTACTTTAGTTTGTGTATTCCTGTGTTAGGGGTAAATGAATGACACCTCTTAAGGAAGGCATAGTTAAGAAGCAGATCTTAATCTTCTAAATACTGTCTAAGATTTAAGCAAGATACTTTATGTACATATTTCCTGGTCTCTCAGTCAACAATGTTAATGAACAGCCTGGGTATGCTCAATTGTTAGAAGTTGGAAGAATGTTCAGTTGGGTAACAGGACAGTCTTGGAAGAGTGTGATGTTCAGAAGGAATTATAGTGTGCATTTGTAAATATGCAGTAATAATAAAGTTTAGTGGTCATATTTAAAGGCTTTCATTTAGTCTGGAAACATCAGGCAGGGTTAAATGTCTGTTACTTGTACTTCTTATGTAGCAGTTTGATAATTCATTCCAACAGTTTCTTCAAGAACACTACTAATAGATACTGAGAATAACTGTTTTTCTCTATACAGATGTCACATAATTTTTGATTAAAGTAGCACTTTTCTTGAGGAAGCAGTAAGAGTCAAGTGACTTTGGAATAGTGTCAAAGCAAAAAGATGACTATCCCAAAAGTTAGATTAGATGAGCTAAAGAATAGAGTTAAGTGAAAAATAGCTTTCAGAGTTTATATGTGGTGACTTAATGATGTGATGACTTGGAAAGCATCATATATATACCTCAGCCTTTAATGGCTTTCTTGACAGCTTCAGACAACATTCGTTTGCTACATGGACTGTACTTTCTAATACAAATACATTGATTTAAAATACCGATGTATTTGCATCAAAAAATGTAAGGATATAGTTGATATTATTTTTGGAGGAAAATACCGTGGTAAATGCAATGTAAGTATAAGTTCTATTGGTCTTACCAATGCAAAATTGTGGAATTTAAGGCTGTATGATAAATGATACTGTAGAGATGTAAGAGACAATACAATGTATATAAATGACTCTCCTTCCTATTATTTCATCCTGGGAAGAAGTGTAAATTTAAATTTGGAAGAGAAAAAAGACGCTTTGTGAATATTTTGATTATTGAAGGCTATAAAATACATGTAATTAAATTCCAGTGAGCTTTCTTATGGGAAAAAGAAAAGAAGCCCATACTTACATGTTCAAGAGGTATTTCTATCAACAGGTACAATTCAGAACCTGTGTATCAACACCTCACTTACATCTGATTAGCCTGTTGGGACGAATAACTAATAGTTAATACTCTGAAGATGCTAGTCCAGAATTTCCCTCCAGAGATAATTAGAAGGATCCTATATTGTTCCAGTTATTAAGTCAGGAGCCTTAGGTAATTATCAATAACAAGTACTCCTGATGTCATGAGTCGTTACTGTTGATATGCACAATTGTAAATTCTCATCGATGAACTATTATAGTTTAGCATCTAATAGGTCTCTTTCTAATTATAAAAGAACCTTTTAATGTCAGTGCATAGAAACATGCATATGACTTTTTTTCATTATTGTGTTACTATTTAGCCTGAAATTTTTCTAGGTAATAAGATTTGAAGCTGGTAAGAAAATTCAAATAGGATGATGTTTAAGCAAGTGTGAACATAACTGTAGAAATATTATTGAAACTTATTTTCATACTTTGAGCTGTTTTATACAAGAGGAGATAATAAGAAATGGTGTGTTTCTGGTGTTTCCTTAGTGAGAAAATAACTTGGGAATAGGAAGGATGATGCAAACTAAAATGAATTTTTAGTCCTGTTTCATCTCTTTCCTATATTTGAGTAAAATTTGAATAAAAGGTTTATGGAGGTACATTTTACAATGTTTTCATAGACTGAGAACTTTTTTTCCTCTTGAGAATGCATATTAACATGGGACTAGATAGCCAGAAAGTGGCATAATGGGAAGCTAACCAGGCATGAATGAAATACTGTGTTTATTATCCATGTGTACATTATACTGTGTAGTTACCCATGAGATGCATATCATTAATTTTCCTTCTGTTTTTGAAAACACAAATTAGATCCAAACACAGAAGTTGGAGTGAGGTGACTTGTAGTTTGAAAATTTTAAAATTATCTATACCAATAAGAGATCATGTGTCATGGTCCTATAAATATCATTGCCTCTATTTCATTAAGTACTGGAAAGTGGGAGCTGCTTGGAAATGATGTTGTGGGATGATTTCCAGCAGACTATGAGTTTTTTTTCCTTATGTCAATGTAAAAGCATAGTTTTATAAATAACATGACATAAATACTAAATAGCATATTTCACAAAACCTAATGTTAGGACAGTTGCCTCTTTGGCTGCTCTTTGATGCTCATTTAAGGCAAGTTCTGCATGGATCCAACTGTAACAAAAAGAGACCCCAACTTTCCAGATTTGGTGCTAAGTATTCCTGTTGGGAATGAGTATATCAGAGAGGGGACAGAGCCATCAGGCTGGAAGATGCCAGTGCAGATGGAAGGACGTTTTCAGCCATCCATCTGTATTTTCTGCTAATGTGGAGGCCTTGTTTTCATGCTTCTGCTGAAGTTTGTCATTTCATTCAGAAATATGGACACGTGGTTCTTTGTATGATGTCTATGGTATGAGTTCTTCTCCAGATGTGCCACATACAGCTCTTAATTTGTCTTTCACTGGAAGGTAGTAGTGTTCCTGGTTTCTTTATCTTTTCTGAGAACTGTTGTTCTGTAATGGTTGCAGAACTTGCCTAATCTTTGAGCCCAAAATAACAATGCTGCTTTGTGGCTTCTCTTGAAGGCTCAGTTTTTTGATGAATTGGAATCCAATAGAGGGCTGCATCTTGTCAGATGACATAGCTGGTTCCACACTTTCCTTTTCCTGATTCCAGCAGCAGCCTGGGTTGATGGATCACAGCGTATTGAGGTTAATTTTGCTTCATGACTGCAGCGTCTGGTTCCAGCATTCAATGTCGTTTGTGGTCATGTCTTCCTACAACACTCACTTTACACTCCACGAAATAAAATTTGCCACCATGTATTGGCACAAGCAGTGTACTTCCTGGTGCACCTGTTAGATCATTTGAAAAATAATTCTAGTGAGTCCCCCAAATCAACTCTCAAATGGTTCCTCAGACTTCAGACA